GTGGCCACTCACCACTGACCACCCACCTCCACCCTCTGTGGAGTATCAGCTGTGCAGAAGCAGGGTGGTGGTGCTCCAATGTGGTCAGTAGCTGTCCACTGGGTGTGAAGGCTCTAGGGTCTCCCAGTTGGTGCAGGTCAAGGTCAGCTACCATTGTGTTCTGTCCAAGGCGACCTGCATGAGCTACAAAACAATCTGCAGATGGCTGCTACTTGTGCTGGGCTGGAGATTCCCAGGTGAAGCCAAGCTGTGAACCTAGGCTGGCTATTGCTAGTGCCAGGCCTGGGGCCTCTTAGCTGTGATATGGGGGCTGAGGGCTTGCTGAGGCTGCTTGTTGCTTGTTTGATAGGATTTAGAAAGATGTGCAGCATGAGTCTAGGCAAGCAATATGAAAAAGCCACTGTTAACAGTCTGGCTGGACCTGTGAGGTGGGTGGGGTGGAGCCTCAGGCAATCCCCAGGGCTGAGCAAACAATGTGAGCCAGGTTGATGAAGTGTCAGATATAGCCCCCACCTGCCAGCTTTGTGGCTGTGTGCGTGGAAAATTTAAAAAGTTCTTTCCTCATTTTTGTGCATTACTATCATACATGAATCCACATACCTTTCCAATAGCTTCAGTGTGATGTTGTGTACATATCTGAAGTCTGCTAACCCAGTGCTGTCGCTCTTTAGCATCTGTGGCTGGTAAAAAGAATCCACAAGTTATCTACTTTTGTAATTATATTTGGAATACAATTGATTGTCTATAGCATGAAGAAAAGATCATTGAAAACCAGGGACTGGTCATACTCTCCCCAGAGCAAAGAGAACCAAGCATCAATCTTGTTCGGTGACATAGTAGCTAGATGTGGATATTTCATAAGAAGGATATATTACATGCAGAATAGAAATATACTCTTTTTAAAATACCCTTTATTAAGTATTTAATGTGTATTCAGTACTTTCAGACCTCATGTAGCATGCTCAGCTAGGATTATTATCATACTTCATGTGTATTAATTAGATGAAAAACAAAAACTTCTATACAAATTAAATTTATCTACATAAATATAACTTTTATTTTAATGAATATGGACATTTTAGTAAATCCCAACTATATCCATTAGTTCCTGAAAACCAGAAAGAGAGCATACAAATCAAATCAAGAAAAGGGCCAAACTACTCATCATTGGCGGACATAAAAATGTATCATTTAAAGATGGCTATGCTTTTAGATTTTTTCAGTAATTAGGGTTTTATCTCCACAAAAATTTTAGAGGGGTCAATCTTAAACAGATTTGTTCACTGTCCCACTTGAAGAAAGTATTTATTAAAACAGATTTCATAAATTCTTAAAGCATTTCCAAGGTTTAGCATAGGGTGTGCACATCATCAATGACAGTAATTTCTATAAAGCCCAAATGTAAGCAGGAAAGTACACTAACTTCTCAAGGGAAAAAGAAAATCATGATATTCATCTCATATCCCAATCCTACCTCTGAGTTTATACTGTTCCCCACTGGCAGCATTCACTGTGAAGGTGTGCGAGTCTTCATCACTCGGTGATATTACAGCTCCTGCAAGCTGCAAAGTACCTCTGGGTTTTTGATTTCTAGACTGTTCATTCACAAAGTATTCCAATAACCCAGCTTCGTTGTTTAAAACAAAAAACCTGTAATGATTTTCAAAAAAAGGTCACAATTTTTAAACATTTCCCCTAGTCAAATTAAAGCAAACCAAGTTTTAATAACTTATACATTTTGAAGAATTTGCCATGAAAAAAAATTTCAAAAATATCTCAAGAAATACTTGGAAACAATAGGTTGAATTTCCTAGCAGTTAAGATTATTGAAAAATTGAATGAGCTTAATAAAAGATATAAAACCTCCAGCTGTGCCCTGGCCAGTGTAGCTCAGTTGGTTGGAGCGTTGTCCCATACACAAAAAAGTTGGGGGTTTGATTCCCAGACAGGGAACATACCTAGGTTGCAGGTTCATCCCTGGCTGGGGTATATATGGAAGGCAATCAATTGATGTTTCTCTCTCTCTCTCTCTCTCTCTCTCAAATCAATAAACATATTTTCTGGGAGAAAAAACTCCTCCAGCGGAGAAAGGGGAACTTAATAGGGAAGAAGTGTACCAGATACCACAAAAAGGAAATAAAGATATGGTATCCTTTCGGAGGAAGATTTAGCTCTAGAATTCATTAACAGGGAAGGTAAATTGCCCAAGGACAAATGGTAATGAGAAACTTTATTTAAAACTTACTGCAAACAAATCAAAACATGAACTTGGAGGTTAACTAAATGCTAGGTAAGAAATAAATCTAACATAAGATTTAACCAGTGAAATATAAAATGAGAATAATGTCAGAACAGAAAGATTTTGTGAATGTATCATTAAACAGGTCACAACTAAAGATTACTTATCCTGTTTAAAAATGAAAAAGCTGCAATTGGAGATGCAGAAACATAGGAAACTTGAAACTGAATGACATACTGATATACTTTGGAAAAATTCTGATGTTCTGACCTGCATCTAGATTAACTACTCTAGGAAATGTATTAATTAAGATTCCAATTTAATTAATATAACAGCTCTTTAAGAAATATAAACAATTCCGATTTAATGTTTGGGCTTGGAGCAGTTTAGCATTCTACATGTTAATGTGCTCTGTAACAGACAATTTGATCCAGACAATGTCCTAAAAGATATTATCTTAAGGAATTCGACAACCATATCAAATTGGGAATGAATGGAATCAGCCTTGTATTCAAGTGGAAAAAAAATTAGTAGCAAGCAAAAGGAGTTGGAAGTAGTTGCTTGAGAAGGGAGGGGGAATGCAAAAAACTATTATTGTTTTTCTTGTTCATCTTTTAGTATGCTTTTGATTTTAAAAATTATGTTCGGATATTCTGGTAAAAATACAAATCAATTTTGATATTTTTAAGTTTTAAAACTTCTGTATTATTAATTACTACACCTTTTTATGTGGGGTTTTCTTTTGTTTTTTATTTTCGGCTTATAGCAACTTATTTATTATGTCACAGTCCTGTACGTCAGGAGTCCAGGCACAGCTCAGCTAGATTCACTACTGAGGGTCTCAAGGCCGAAATTTAGGTGACAGTTGGAGCTATGGTGTCATCTGAAGCCTGGAGTACTTTTCTAAGCTAATTTAGGCTGTTGAAAGAATTCAATTTCTTATGGTTATACCTCTCAGGTCCCAGCCTGTCTTCCTGGCTGACAGCCAGAAAGTAGCTCTCATCTGGAGGTCACCCTTAGGTCTTAGCCATTGTGACCTTCTTACAACGTAGTAACTTCTTTCTTTAAGGCCCACAGAAGGATGTCTCAGATGCCTCATAAGAGCTCACCTTATTAGAACAGGCCCACCCACCACAGTCTCCCTGTTGATACTCAATCAGCTGATTAGAAATCTTAACTGCATCTGCGAAATTCCACCAACTTTGCCATGTAACGTAATTTAATAATGGCCATATTAAGGCAGTATCATGTGGGTATATTTGGCTTGTGGTGAATAACTGCTTACAATAGCACACTGTGAACATGACCCTATAAACAAATGACTGTATAAAATTTTACAATCTATGTAAATCTTGAACTTTATATCACTCTTTAAGGTACAAAGGTACTTGTAAATATTCTGCATCCTTTGATTTTCATGATTACTTGCCAGAGAGGCACAGTAGGTATTATTAGTCCAATGTTACAGGTGGAAAAACCAATGCTCAAAGCAGCTAAGTGACTGACCACAGCTTTCCAGAAAATTAGTAATGGAGTTGGGCCTCAGCCCAGGGTCTTTGCATTCTATAGTCCAGTCCTCTTTTTTGCTAAGCCTGTAGTTTTCAAATTGTGCTTGATGAAGTTCCAAAAAGATGTCTCAGGCATGACTGCATGAACGGACACTAAGGTAGGGCTAAGTGCTGAAATGGCAGCTCTGCTTTTGTTTGTTCTATACATTTGGGGCTCTACCTAAGGTTTAAGAACCACTGCACTGCACCATTGCCGACTTGTTAAAGGTAAAGAAGAATGCTTACCAAACTAATTAACCTAAAAAAAAAAAGCCAAGTGTCTATTCTGAAGTTTCAAGAAGTTGTCATTTCTTGGAGCAGCTGTTGGACCTTCCTAATATCTGGTCTCTTATTTTTCTTTTCATGCAGACAATGACTGGCAACAGAGTACACAGTTTCAGTAGAAGTGAAATCAATGTCACTCATCTTCTTATCAATTTAATCAATTGTCTTTTCTTCACCTTCAATTTCTTCTTTAATATCTAGCAATAATTAAGGTTCCCGGCATTCATCCACAGTTGGAAGTCCAGTTATTATTTCTAGTAAAACAACACCAAAGCTGTAGATATCAGATTTGGGTGTTATTTCCCCTTGCAAAGCTACAGGTGCTGTATAAGCTGTTGTTCCTACGATTCTGCTAGTCACAACTATCTGTGTAAACTTCTTAGAAGCCTATGTAGGCCCAAAGTCAGATAATTTGGCTGTAAAGTCTTCATCTAGTAAAGTAATTGCACTTTTTATATCTCTATGAATGTGATGATTTTCATGCAAAAAACTGATACCATTAGCTGCACCCTGAGCATTCCTGCACCTCATGTGCCAAGAAAGTGGTGGAGTATCATTCAAACAAGACAGTCTGTCTAGCAATGAACCATTAGGCATGACTAAGCAGGGGTCATCTCCATCACTAAGAAACCGAGTAGTTCTACTAAATTTTCATGTTGGCACTTTACCATTACTTTTATTTCTTGATCAAACTGCTGTCTCAGTTCCTCAGTACAAATGTCAGCTATTGCTACAAGCCTCTTCACTGCCACGGTTCAGCTGTTCTCATAGCCTTTACAGACAACTCTAACCTGCTCTCTCCCATTTTGTTATTAGCACTGACAGAAATGGGTCATTCATCCAAGTTATTGCTGACATCCTTCAATTCATAAAATGAAAAACTGTGAAAACATGTATCACTAACTTCTAAACTTTCTAGACTTCAGGAGTCAGGTGGCATATAATTTTATTGAGGATTCCACACAGGTATCATGGATGTCTTTCCTATCTTTGCCACAGAGAGGCCTCTGATTCTGCTCAACTGTTACAGCTTCTCTATGAGGTAGAGTATTGACAGTTTTGGGAATAGCGTCAGGGAGCAAAAGACTTGCAGGGGCAAAAAACTCATTTTGGACCAACAGGTTGACAGGATCACCAACTGTGCAATTTGTCGTGCCCTGGTGAAACAGTAATTCACCAGTGGCACTTTTTCCAGTTTGAAGTAATCCTTCACATCTTCTCAAGTGAAACTGATTATATCTATCATCACCAGATGGCTTTTTAATAGCTACTGCTAACTTCTTCCATCCTTCTCGCAGATCAATAAAATCTGACAGCTCCCTAATTAGTCCAACATTGAGGCAGTGCACATATGTTGATGGTGTTACGGGTTTGTTCATCTTCTGTCCTCAATTCATTGGAGCTTGGTTTCTTCATCTGAAAGACAGAGATGGTGATACCTGCCCAAGCACTGGAACTGGTGGCCAGACCGACCATGCCCAGCTGGGCCCCCTTGCATGTGTTTTATTGACCATCCGTAGTCCTACTTATAATGAACACCCTGTTAAGTTTTGCACATTTTTAATAAGGTTATTTTTATTTTCCCAAAGATTATTTGAATCAACATAAGATAGTCACTGACACAATCTTAAATTTCTGAAACATAAGACCTGTCCAAAGTAAAATGCACATAGGCATCTCCTATGGGCTGAGCATATCCTCCTGAATTCCTATGATGAAATCCTAACCCACAAGGTAAGCAATTAGGTCACCAGGAGATAACCTCATGAATGAGGTTAGTGCCTTATAATAGAGATCCAAGAATACCTTCACTCTTTTCTGCCATGTGAGAATACAATAGGAAGTCTGCAAAATGAAGAGGGTTCTTGCCTGAGTATGCAGGCACCCTGATCTTGGAGTTCCAAACTCCAGAACCATGAGAAATAAATTTGTTGTTTGTAAGCTACCTACTTTGTAGTATTTTGTTACAGTAGCCCAAATTGATCAAGACATGAAAGCAATCTCTTCAATATACTAAAAACCACTGAGTTGTACATTTAAGTGGGAAAATTGTATAGTATGTGTATTCTCTTAATAAAGCTATTAACAAAAAATGAACAAACAACAAAGGAAAGAAATCTTCCCACTGCTCTAAGCAATATGTACAATTTACTTCAACAAAGGAAAATTATTTATCTTATCTTCTAAAAGCAGTCAATTCAAAGAATTTAGAGTACAATATGTTTGGAACTGTCAAGTTTGCTATGAACACATATTTCTTACCCTAAAAGCATTACCACAAATTTACAAGATGGGAGGGCTCACCTAGATATATAGAAAGTAATGCTGAGAAGAGACTGCCAGAATTATAGAAATGAGCCAATAACTGCACAGCAGGGTGACTGCAGTTAATATTATACTGTGTACTCAAAAGATATTGAGAGTAGATCTCAAAAGTTCTTATCACAAGAAAAAAACTGTAACTGTGTATGGTGACAAATGTTAACTAGATTTATTGTGGTGATCATTTCCCAATGCAAGAAACTCTCAGAGATACTGAGGGTTTGGTTCCAAACCCCTACAATAAAGCAAGTCACAAATTTTTTGGTTTCCCGGCACACATAAAAGTTATGTTTATATTACACAGTGGTCTACTAAGTGTGCAATAGCATTATGTCTAAAAATTGTAAATACCTTAATTTAAAAATATTTTACTTCTAAAAAACGCTAACCATCATCTGCACCTTCTACGAATTGCATACTTTTTTGATGACAGAGGGTCAGGCCTCCATATTGATTGCTACTGGCAGATCAGGGTACTGATGCTGAGGGTGGCTGTGGCAATTTCTTAAAATAAGATAATGAAGTCTGCTGTGCTGATTGAGAGCAATTTTTCTGTAGGATACAATGATGTTTGATAGTGTTTTACCCACTGTATAACTTTAATTCTCTGAAACCCTGTTGCTGCTTTATCAACTAAGCTTATATAATATTCTAAATGCCTTGCCGCTGTGTCAACAATTTTCATAGAATCTTTTTTTAGTATTTTTATTGATTATGCTATTACACTTTTCTCAAATTTTCCCCCTGTATCCCTCTTCTACCCTCTAACATTCCCCCCTCCCCTTAGTTCATGTCCATGGGTTGTACATATAAGTTCTTTGAGTTCTGTTTCCTATACTATTTTTTATCTTTCCTCGTCTATTTTAGGCATACTAATTATGCTTCTTCTTCCCCATACCTCCCTCCCATTCCTCCCTTCCCCCTCCCCACTGAACTCCCTCTGTGTGATGTCCATTTCTCTAATTCTGTTTCTGTTCTGGTTATTGGCTTAGCTTTTGTTTTCCTTTTCTTCTAGGTTAATCTGTTGATAGTTGTGAGATTGTTGTCATTTCACTGTTCATATTTTTATCTTCTTTTTCTTAGATGAGTCCCTTTAACATTTCATATAATAAGGGCTTGGTCATGATGGACTCCTTTAACTTCACCTTATCTGGGAAGCACTGTATCTGCCCTTCCATTCTAAATGAAAGCTTTGCTGGATAGAGTAATCTTGGATGTAGGTCCTTGCCCTTCATAACTTCAAATACTTCTTTCCAGCTTCTTCTTGCCTATAAGGTTTGTTTTGAGAAATCAAAGTCTAATGGGAACTCCTTTGTAGGTAACTATCTCCTTCTCTCTTGCCGTTTTTAGGATCTCCTCTTTGTCTTTGATCTTGGGTAACTTAATGATGATGTGCCTTGGTGTGTTTCTCTTTGAGTACAACTTCTTTGGGGCTCTCTGGGCTTCCTGGAAGTCTATTTCCTTCTCCAGATTGGGGAAGTTTTTCCTTTATTATTTTTCAAATAAGTTTTCAATTTCTTGATGTTGTTCTTTTCCTTCTGGCACCCCTATGATTAAGATATCAGAACATTTCAGGTTGTCCCAGAGAATCCTCAGCCTCTCTCCATTTTTTTGGATTCTTATTTTTTCATTCTGATCCAGTTGGGAGTTTATTTCTTTTTTTTTGTTCCAAATCGTTGCTTTGAATCTTGGTTTCCTTCCTGTCAACTGTTGGTTCCTTGAATATTTTGCTTTATTTCATTTTGGGTATCTTTCATTTGTTCTTTCATTTTCAACCAAACTCATTTTGATTACCAGGGCTTTAAATTCTCCATCAGATGGGTTGACAATCTCCTCATCACTTAGTTCTGAGGTTTTGCTGTGTTTTTTCATTTGGGCCATATTTCATTGTCTTGGCACACCTGGTAAGTTGTAAGGGGCAGGGCCTTAGGTATTCACCCAGGCAGGGCAACCCTCTTTGCTGCACTGCCTGTGGGGGAGGGGCCAGAGAGGGAACAATGCAGCTTGCCTGCTCTTCTTTAGCGCGCTTTCTAATGTACTCTTGTGTCCGACTGGAAGTATCCCCCACTGCAGTAACCCCAGCCTTAGACCACAGTCAGCTCTGAGCCTCAGTTTTCCCCTTAAGTCAGTCTCTCCCACACAGCTCTGCCCAGCTCAGCAGTCTGTCCCGCCCATCAGCCGCCTCACTGAGGTTTTCTTAGTCGGACCACAAGGTCCGCATTACCAGTCTGGTTAATTTTTTCTTTAATTCTTTGGTTGTCCAAGTTCCATGCAGCTTTATTTTCTGGCACTTTTGGTTGTTTATTGATTTTAGATTGGTCGTTGTCCTCCTTTTGGTTGTGTGAGGAAGCAAAGGGTTTCTACTTAAACCTCCATCTTGGTCAAAACTCTCAATTTTTGTAGAATCTTCTAGATTCTAAATCATGTAACCACTTTTTTCGCTAGTCCAGAAGAAGCAACTCCTCAACCATTAAAATTTTATCATGAGATTGAAGCAATTCAGTCACATGTTCAGGCTCCACTTCTATTGTTCTTGCTATCTCTGCCATGCATGCAGTTACTTCCTCCACTGAAGTACTGAACCCCTCAAAGTCATGCATGAGGGTTGGAATCAAGTTCTTCCAAATTCCTATGAATGCTAATATTTTGATCTCTTCCCATGAATCATGAATATTCTTAGTAACATCTAGAATGATGAACCCTTTCCAGAATGTTTTCAATTGGCTTCGTCCAGATTCATGAAAGGACTCAATGTCTATGGCAGTTACAAACTTACAAAATGTATTTCTGAAATAATAACATTTGAAAGTCAAAAGTTACTCCTTAGTCCATGGGCTACAGCATAGATGTTCTGTTAGCAGGCATGAAAACAACATTAATCTTGTTGTATTCAATATATTCTCTATCAGAGCTCTTGAGTGACCAGGTAAAATGTCAATGAGCACTAATATTTTGCAAGGAATCTTTTCTCCTCAGCAGTAAGTATCAACAGTGGGCTTAAAATAGTCAATAAATTATGCTGTTAACAGATTTGCTGTCATCAGGCTTTGCTGCTACATTTATAGAGCACAGGCAGAGTACACTTAGCATAAATCTTAAAGGCACTAGATCTGCAGAACGGTAAATGAGCACTGGCTTCAACTTAAAGTCACCATCTGCATTAGCCCCTAACAAGAGAGGCAGCCTATCGTTTGAAGCCAGCATGGACTTCTCTTCTCTAGCTATGAAAGTCCTATAGATGGTATCTTCTTCCAATAGGAGGCTGTTTTGTCTACTAAAAATCTGTTATTTAGTGTAGCCACCTACATTAATCATCTTAGCTAGGTCTTCTGGAGAACTTGCCACAATTTCTACATAAGCACTTGCTGCTTCACCTTAATTCTTACATTTTGGAGATGGCTTATTTCCTTAAATCCCATGAACCAACCTCTGCTACCTTCAAATTTTTCTTCTGCAGCTTCCTTGCCTCTCTCATCCTTCCTGGAATTAAAGAGTTAGGGCTTGGCTCTTGATTAGGCTTTGGCTTAAGAAATTGTTGAGACTGGTTTGATCTACCCACATCACTAAAACTTCTTCCATACAAGCGATGAGGCTCTTATACTTTTTTTTTAATCATTCATGTATTCACTGGAAAAGAACTTTCATCTCACTTAGACACTGAGAGGCCTACTGAAACTGGCCTAATCTCAACATTGTTGTGTCTCAGGAATTAGAGAGCCCTGAGGAGGGGGAGAGACACTGAGGCGGGGGAATATCCAGTCAGTGGAGCAGTCGGAGCACACACAATATTTACAGACTAAGTTGGCTGTTTTATATGTGTGTGGTTTGTGGCTCCTCAAAAAACAATTATAATAGTAACATCAAAGATTACTGATCATCAATCACCGTAATACATGTAAGAAATAGGTTTAAAATATAGCAAGAATCACCAAAATGTGATAAAGAGACATGAAGTACGCAAAATGCTGCTAAAAGGATGGCACCGATATACTTGTTCTGCATAGTGTGGCCATAAACCTTCACTTTGTAAAAACCACAGTATCCCCTGGCTGGTGTG